GAGGATTCTGTTTTCAATCATTAACCAAACTTTTCTCTATAATTAAAATTTTTAAGATTTTGTAAAGTATTTGTAACGTAAATTTTTAATTTTTTTCTCGTAGTGAATAACAGAACGCAATCTCTATAATAGCTTGCCGCTAGGTCGGAGTGAACAATGTAAACTATCAATAGATCAAAAAATTAATAGTTACATTGAGTAAATTAATTAGATAAAAGGAAGAACCCTTGAGCATCCGTGGTCGATTTCAGAAGAAGAAGCATATCTACATCTAATAAGGACCTTAAGCATCTGCAGCGGAATACCCTGCCACGCTATACCGCAATACTAACTTTTTTCCGTACACGGGAATTAAAAATTGCCAGTAACAAAATACCTCTGATTTTCCTCATTTATAATACCTCATTTATAATAAAATCAAATACACAAGTTGAACTTCGCAGAAACTTTGAAAAGTTAAAGATGATACACAAGCAAGAATTACGTTCATTCCAGCCTAGTGGCAAGCCATCAGCAGAGATTAAAATTGAAATTGCATTCATTATGATAAAATTTGAAATTCACATATTACGTACGTACATTTACTTTATGAAATTCTAAGAGAGAAAAGTTGAGTGCCACTCGAGATAATCCCCTTAAACATTAATCTAACTTTGACGAATGTTAAACGCTAGGGTCATTCACGGATCTGTAAACGCTAAGGCGCTCCACACAATAAAAAGAATAGGGAACAGAAAACAGAGAATAAGAATTTCAACCTATCAGAAACTGTGAATTCCACAATACATGATTTCGGATAAATTGAAATTTCTTATTCTTTGTTCTCTGTTCCCTATTCCTTTTATTGTGCGGAGTCCTTAACGCTACCAATACACTACCTCGGAAGGAATAGCGTTGATAGCGCGTAATTGTGACGTAACATACTACCATTAGTGACGTCATGATCGTGTTTATTATGTGCAGCTAAATAGCACGAATAGCGTCTGCCCGAATGCACCCATAATAGCATCAATGATTAGTTCCGCCGTTTTACTTCAAAGCCAATGAAAATTTTGACAAGATTAACGTGACTCTCTTATAGGAACTCTAGGTGTAAAATCAATATAAATAAGCCAATTACATGCCTTTTTATGAAACTTATTTTCAAATATTTAAGGATATTCAAGGGATTCAATCACACGCTCAAAAACAACATGTGGAAGATGTTTACGCTCAACAGCAATTATAAGTAGATTGACGCGTCTTAAATTATAACGTGTGCGAGCATCGCACTATCGGCATGCAGCCCGCCGACGTAACTCCCGCGATCGCCGAAAAACTCTTGGATACAGTGTACAGCGTGATAAAAATCGCTAGTCTAGCAAAATTCAAAGTGGGCGATACGATACGCGTGAGCAAGTACAAGATTTTTGAGAAAGATTACACGCTAAATTGGACCACCGAGATGTTACGATCGTTAAAGTGCAACATACCAATTCCGTAATCTATCTACGCAAAATGAATCTGATAGCGTTTTCATCTTCACTGCACTATCGCCCATCAGTGCAACTCTCAGACAGTGTAGCATGTTTCCTTGGCTGGTGTAGGCGAACTCATTCAGTGTAACATGTTTCCGTGACTATAGTGCAGTGCAAATTTTATGCACGAAGTAGGTTTTACTACACGATCTCAAAGAAACGATATAGAGCCAGTGTAACATTAAAAATTTGAAAATGAAAGTCAACCGGCAGCAGAATTAAACACGATGCAGCATGAAGTAATGTACACTATGATATATACACTTTTGTAGTGCAGCACTGATGCAACACTTACACGCACTGGTGTAGTGCGAGATTACACTCAGTGTATCCCAAGAGAAAACGCTATTACAATATTAATGGAATATGTAACGTCAACCAATAGTAGTACATTATCCAACACAAATGGAAACAAATCCGCTCGGGTCGCTATAAGATAATTTAAATGAAAATTACTAATTTATTATCCATTCGTCTATTCGATTTGCTTACACTTTTTTACACTTTTTATATTTAAAATAAGATAGATAAATATTTGTCGTTGAAAAGAGAGAAAGCGAAGATGTTAAGTATAAATGGCGTAAGCAAGTCGAACAGACCTCATATCTCCACATAAGTCCGCGGTGTAACTATATATAGGCTATTGATGTTTTTAGAACGGTATTGGTAGCAGAAGAGCGGCTTTCAGATCTACAAGAATGACTAAGCATATTTATCGAGAAAACGCAAAAGACGGAAGGATTTGGGCATTTTCGAGGCTATTTTGTTCTCGGCCCTGAAAAATTATCAAGTTGAAAATAACCATGGATGGAAAGAGATCGATTAAGATGGTACGTAACCATGATTTACTTAGCATCTTTTTTTTCTTTCTCTCTCTCTCTCTTTCTCTCTTCTGATATTTTAAAAATACAAACATTCACAAGGAGCAAGAGTTACATATAATTTTCCATTATTCACCTTAAATGGTAATTATGAAGGATATGTGCTTTTACTCATCGATTTTGATGAAATTAGGCTGATTTGACGCATTTTTTTTTACGAAATAAACAAATCTAACAGAAAAAAGTTGCTCTATCCCGCGAACCAAGATATAAAGTATTAAAATTGACGACTATTCAGGTTAGGAAATCTGTCATATCAATAGTATAAATAGAGGAATATAAGTGTGGCTAGAATGAGACTTTCTGTTTTAATTACACAAATTTTCTGCTTTAAAAACAAATTCTACTGCATAAAAACAAAAATTATATTAAAAAATGATTTGTCTTTAAAGCAAAAAATTTGTATTTTTGAAGAACTTTGAAGCAGACAATTTGTATTTTTTAAAACAGAGAATTTATTTTTAAAGTAAAGAATTTGTGTTTATAAAACTGAAAATTCATGTAACCCTTTATGCTATCGTTATGACAGATCTTCTAATCTGAAGTCAGTACTTGTTAGAGAATTTTTGCAATATCATTTATCCAGATACAGTGAATGCTAAGGTCAAATTCTATCTTCTTAACAACTAATTAAGGAAAGGATAACGTGACTTTAGCGTTCATTATATTTGGACTCATGTTATTGCAAAAACTCCTTAATATCTTGGTTTCTGGAACAGGTGATACTTTTTTCTGCTAAATTCGTTCATTTCGTACAAAAACGTATCAAATGAGCCTAATTTCATCGAAATCAGTAAATAAACCTGTCTCCTTCATAATTATCTTTTGAATATAGAATAATTTTATCATATTCAAATAAAGTAGTTCAATATTACACTCCACATAAGATTCTTTGTTTCCATTAAGTAATTATATTTTTTGTATTACCTGTTGATAGGATCCACTGTCGCCTGGCCCATGTCTAGACATTAGTGACGATGAGCTTGTTACGATATCAGTACGGGATTTAAACAGACAGTTGAAATTACGAGGACTGTCCAGAGAGGAAATTGTACGTATGAAACAAAGAAGGCGCACACTGAAGAACAGAGGCTATGCAGCCAGTTGTCGCATAAAACGTATCGAGCAAAAGGATGAATTAGAGTCTGAAAAGACTCAAGAGTATCGCGATATGGAAACTATGCAGGAGGACAACAACCGTATGAGGGAAGAGATAGATTCCTGGCATTCAAAGTATCAAGCACTCAAAAAGTTTGCTCAAGAAAAAAAAATTATTATCCCACCAGATCTGGAAAACATATAAGATATTTAGATACTAATTAACAAACACACACACACACACAACATATATATATATATATATATATGATTTAATAATAGAATGATTTGGTGAATGTGTCAATATTATAGTTATTTACAAAGTTTTTTAGTTTTAAAATTGTAGAAAAAATTTAATTTTGTACATATATGTAAGAACTTATAGAATTCAACTTATTATGCTGTAGGAACTGTACAATTTAGATAGGGGAGACTGGGGACAGATGTAATCATTTTTTTTTAGAAATATACATATATTTCTTTATTTATAACATATATGTTTATTTCTTTTAATGCACATAACGCAACAACTATTTAGATTTATGATACTATTTGCAAAGAGGTGTAATTTTAGACTGTTTATGAATAAAATATCAAAATCCGAATTAGTACATCTTGCTCTGATTTGGAACAAAATGAAACAGAGCTAAGGAAAGTAACATGTTCTAAAAACAAAATTATCTGTTTTAAAACAGAAATTCATTGCTTTAAAAACAAATTCAGTACTTTAAAAATAAATTATCTGTAAAATAAAAATTAAATCTCTAAAATAGAAATTATCTTCTTATTTTTGTTTTTAAATCAGTAAATTTACTATTGAAAAGCAGTGAATTTGTATTTTAAAGCAGAGAATTTGTTTCAAAACAGTGATTTTGTGTTTTTAAAACTGTAAATTTGTGTTTCAGAACAAATAATTTGTTTTTAAAGCAGTGAATAATATCTATTACAATAAGAAATATTTACGACGCATCCGCGACCAAAGAGCACGAAGATGTGACCTCAGCGCGTGCTTGCATCGCAATATTTTGTGGCTGAGAAGTTTCCTAACCTGAACAGTCGTCAACTTAAAATATTTCGATTCACGAAGCAGAGCAACTTTTTTCTTATCAAATCTTTATTTTTGTGCGAAAACACATTGATTCAATATATTTTTATCAAAATTTGAGGTGAGCAAATTCTTAACATTTATCATTAATTGCAATGGTGTTACAATGGCTGCGTTCAACGGACTCAACAATTGAGTGAGCACTCGCTGTTATTAATGTATTCTTCTAAATCTCATCCAATCAGCATTTCAGATCTGGAAGAATACATCAATAGCAGCGAGTGCTTACTTAACTGTTGAATCCGTTAAACGCAACAATGTACTCTGGTGATGCGATACTTTGAACCCCAAATGGATATTGTAAAATTTACATATGTAGATATATTTGAAACCACTTAAAAATATAAAAAAAACATGCACAAAACTTGAAAAAACGTTAGAATTAATAAAATGAAAACATGATAAAAAAACATTTTATTTGAAAATTTAAAGCAAAAAAGTATATCATAAATTTACACTTACATGGCTTATCTGAGCCCTACATATTCTTTTACATGTAACGCACATTGATGTCAAACACCTCGATACCGACTATTTTGGTTCTTCATCTCATCTCTTATCATTTAAAAGATATATGCATTGTTACAACTGTCCCTAGTCTTCCCTATTTTAAATTATAAAGATATCACTCACTCACTCACTCACTCTCTCTCTCTCTCTCTCTCTCTCTCTCTCTCTCTCTAAATGAAAGAATATGACTTAATATGTAAGAAATATTGCAAGAATATTAAGTTATGAGACGAAAGATGGAAAAAGCAAATCCATTGATTTTTTTATACATCTTCATGTTCAGTACATAATAAAAGTATTAATCTGCTAACTACATGAATATTAATTGAATTTCCTAGCAGACGGTATTTTTGTCTATCTGTAATATGTTCTGGAAAATGAAAATCTTCTGGGAAACACATTAATCGACATATTTCTTTAGGTGAGAAAAATCTAAGTTTCAAATCTGACAAAATTTGCATTTGCTTATTCGAATCATTTTCATAATTAGTAATTTCATTATATTTTGATTTGATTATTTCATCTGTAAATGGGCAATATACAGATCCTGTACCTTCTGCATAATAACTGTATCCTTTAGTGAAGCAACAGGAACCATTGCTCTCAGATGTTCGTATATCTAATATCCTTGCTCTCTTTTGTAATAACTTAGAAGGCACCAAATATTTTGAATCTTCAATATGTTCCAAAATATTATTTAATGTGTAACACAGTCTGCCAGATTTCTGATTAATTTTACCTTCTTTCTCCGCTAATACTGAGTGTTTACTTTTTGGTAGTAATTCAAATAATTCAGGAAGTAAATTATTCCCTAACGATGATTGTTTAAAACAGAATTTCAGATTATTTCTTTTCGCCAGTAAATAATATCTGTATCTACTGTTTGGCATACCAAATTGACATGGACTTAATATTAATTCTCTATAGACGTAACCACAACTTTTTATGCATTCTACTAATTCGTCTCTCATTTGAGATACTTCAAAACCTTTAACATTCTCAAGCAAAATATATTTTAAATTTTTCAATTCTGGCAACAAGTTCAAAATGTGTTTCAAGGAACAACTTCTGTTATCAAAAGCATCCTTTTTTAACCCTAATCTAGTAAAAGGCTGACACGGAGGACTCATAAACATAATGTCCACATTTAACTTGTTTAATTCCTGTGCATTAATGGATTGAATATTTCTATTCATAAGAACAGTTTCCGGGAAATTGTGATGGTAAACATCATTTGCAACAGGATTTATATCAATTGCTGCGACAACTTTAGCTGCAATTCCACTCTCTGAAATGATACAATAAAGATGAATTAGTTAACTTTATAGTAAACTTACATGTCGTTCACAATTGTCATCTTATAATTTCTGATTTCTTTTTCTTAATTATCTGCTAATTCCGAATTACTCTTAATGTAATGTCTTTAGATCTTTGGATTTGATTACTAGAACTTTTTTTTTACTTAATTGTATTGGAAAAAAGATTAGAACGATCAGAAATTTCTATCTCTTTATCTGTTTTTCATCGCATTAAAAAAGACTCGAACAATGAGTCAAAACATTTGCAAGTTTGAATTATCTGTATTATTCATGCTAATACTATGTAATTTGTTAATAATTTGTTCATATTTTTACATTAATTGCTATAACTTTTATTAGCATTTTTTATTTGTTCTTGATTTATTCTTGGAACCAAGAAAATGTATATCTGATTTTATTATATATACAGAGTGTCCCGAAATTTTTTGTCAAGCGCTCTTGTGTAGATAAAGTGGACTAAATTGAGTCAAAAAGTCCTCTATCATTTTGCATTAGTTAACAAGATATTAATTATTAAAAGTAGCTAAATATTGATTTTCAATAATTTTTTACTCAAATACTATCAACTTTGCAGAAAAACAGCGAAAGACAAAATTTCTTTATTTTCTTGAAAATTTTTTCAGAACTTTTTTTAATACCATATTTATTCATGTTGATAAAAATAGTTGCTAATATAAGAAAATGCACTAAAAAGTTGATAAAAAATTCAGAAAAAAATTTTTAGAGTTCTATGAGAAGAAAATAAACAATTTATTTTGATGATATTTGAAAAAAAATTATTGAAGACCAATATTTGGCAATTTTTAGTAATTAATATCTTATTAACTATTGCGAAAATTGCAAAATGGTAGAGGACTGTTCGATTCAGTTTAGTCCGCTCTATCTATACAAGAGCACTTAGCAAAAAATTTCGGGACACTGTATAATTATGTTAACTTACATTATTAAAAATTTCATAAAATTTATTATATATAGTTTAAATTATGTTTAATATAAGTATTTAAGTTACACAATTTAAACTTTATTTTATGACATTATATTAAATTTAATGTATTTATAACTGAAAAGTATATTTATGTACATGTACATAAAATTTAATGTATTTTTCATAAATTTAAAGTACACGTTCATTACATTTAAGTAATTACTGTAACTTAATTTTCAGTTAAATCTGTCATTACTTTTAATTTCGTTCATTATCCCGAACTTCATTTACATGCAAAGGAAGTTCGTGGTTACATTTCTAACAGTGTGCTATAATATAAAAACACGATTCATTATATATAATTATACAATAATATTTTTCGATTATTTAAATTTACCACGTAACGCATAATGCATCCCTCCAATCCCGCTATATAACTCCAATGCCTTCATTATTTCGGATTCACTTTAGGTAGGAAAACAATATTTTATATTATGGACGGTTTTCTTCTTTACAAGAGAATGGCCCCAACTCCTACCACGGAATCGAACGGTTAAGGCTGCGACACAGGCCTTTGCATAAAGCATAACGTATAAGAGAATTAACCAATCTGAATCCTTTCTTTCTTTTCACTTCAAGGAAAAAAGAAATTTTTATTGATTGATGCTCTTATGCACTGTGCATTATGCGTTATGCAAGAGTGTGCTTCCTGCTTTAGAATCAAGATAAATGGAGAGCACAAACTCTTTCATAAAGCCGGTTCTACATTAGTTGCAAGCCGATCGCAAGTTTGTTGCGACAGCCAATCCGAAGCTTGCATTTTGAAATCAACGCTTCATATTGCGATCGGCTTGCAACTAATGTAGAACCGGCTTAATGCATAAGAAATTGAACCAATCAAAGTCTTTTGTTTCCTTCCTTTTCATGAAATAAAGAACTATGATTATTTGAATTTCTTATGCTTTATGTGTTATGCATTATGCAAGAGTCTGTGCTCTCAGCTATAGCCACTCCCTGCGGCGAGTAACAGGAATTAGGGCTGCCGCACACAAAATTCCAGTATGCGTAAGTGGAGAGCCTATAATCAGAGTGGCGCTATACGAGAGATGACGTCATGTTTTAGCGAAATTCTGCGAGAGAAAGAGATATACGGTCTCAGTCTGTCAGTTTCAGGGTTAGGTGCAACAGTATTGAACGACATAGATACGTAAAGATAAAAATAAAATTATCGAAATTATTTTAGAAATATGGTTGGATGTATAATACCGTTTAACAATTCCGTGTAACAATTCATTAAAAAAAAGGATATGTTATGAAAATAATTCCGAAAGACACAGAACGCCAAATAAATTGGTTAAAGAGTATAAATGGCAAATATAAAAATGGGACACCGTAAAAAAATCTGTATGTGAGGTAAAGTAATTTATTTTTTATAAATAATATATTTAAAATATTAAAATAAAAATATAACATAAAATATACACAGATTAATTATAACATCTGAAGACACAGTAGTGTCTTGGCACTAAGTATATGTATAGTCACATTAGTTACCCATT